GGCGGGGTGTGTGGCCTTATGACACACTTCCGGTGATGTCAGGGGGTGTGGCATATGCTAATGAGTTATGCTAATGAGTTCCCCTAGCTCTTTTTCTACGAAACGACCCCTGGAAATGATTAAATAACAACAGACAATGATCAAGCTCAATTTTCTATACATGACTCCATACCAAACCTAAATCTGGAATCTTCTGTCCAATGTCTTGCTGGTGCAGTAGGTTATAGAATATTAGAATGCAGGATGTTACTTATGTATCTTGAAATATCTGACTTGCCTTTCTGCTCAAAGAGCACACCATTATTGTTCTGTGTTCCCTACCCAGCCAAAGTGCTCCTCGGGTCCCCTGGTAACTTTCTTTGCAGCAGCTATGGAGGCCCCAGAGAAAGAGTGAATACTGTTTTAAGCAATTTATTGCTGCTGCTTTCATTTTTTAAATATATTCTTTGCACTGCTTCCAAAATTTCTGAATGGTTATAAAAGTCCCATTGTGTCTCCTTGCTGCTGACAGATTGCTGGAGAAGTCGAATAAAGGTTTAGAGAATGTTGTCTAGAAGGGTAGGTAAGAAAAAAAATAATGGGCAAAGAATGCCAGAGAGAGAATAAACGATGGATCGACAATCAGGGTTATGACAGATGTCCCGTCTACCCTGAAATAAGGGGCATCCCTTAAAATAAGTGGAACATAACCAGGTTAGTCTCAGAATAAGCCAGTTTTGAAGTACTCCATGGAGGACATTACAGAGGATGCAGTGTTTTTTTGCCTTTTGAGAGGGGAAAAATAACTTTCATCTGGTGACTTTTACGTAATTCCGTGAGTTAACAAAACTCAGGCAAGCGTCTTACAAACAGATAATAAATAACAAAGCGTGTCTTTGTAAGATGTCCTCTCAGAAGAGAGAAAGAAAGACCTCCATCCAAACCATTTGTAACAAAGTAACAAAGAAGGTTTTTTAAAACAAAACAAAAACAACACACTATTTCATGTTTTAGATGTATTTTGTACAGTCTTTGGGGACCTCTACAGTCAAGTTCAGCTTGCTTTTTTATCACAGCTAGTCACCAACAGGGGCCCTTTCTCAGGTTGCCATAGCAGCCGTGGAACTGTTGGAGTGGGTCTCCCTCACAGGCTGTTCTGGTAATGTTAGAAGCCTGAATACATGTGAAAAGGAGCCGATGAAATCCCAAACCAGACGCACGCAGGGTTCTTGGGAAGGGAACGGCTGCAGTAGAAATGAGTCACGCCAATGGCCAGGGGCAGACAGAGAAGTTCAAATGGCCTTGGAGTCAGACAAGCGGAGTGGTGACAGATTAAGAAATTAAAATGGCCCTGGAGTGAGCCAAGATGAGTGACCCTTGAAGAAGATGAAGAAGAGTTGGTTTTTTACCCCATTGCCTTAAGGAATCTCAAAGTGGCTTGCAATCACCTTCCCCTCCCCAGAACTGGCACCTTGTGAGGCAGGTGGGGCTGAAAGTGTTTGGAGAGAACCATGACTGGCCCAAGGCCACCCAGCAGGCTTCATGTGGAGGAGGAGCGGGGAATCAAGCCCAGTTCTCCACATCAGAGGCCGCCACTCTTAACCACTACACCACACTGGCTGCAAGGACCACTTAGCTCAGCAGTGCCAACAACCAGCATTGGCTCGCCCACTGCATCCTCCCACAAACTGGCAGCAGGTCAGAAGGACGTACTTGGTGGGACTGGCAGGTGAAGTCTGGCAATCCCCGGAAGACAGCGGGGAGCAGGATTTACCAACACAGTGTCTGTTTGGTGTAGTGGTTAAGTGTGCGGACTCTAATCTGGGAGAACCGGGTTTGATTCCCCCACTCCTCCACTTGCACCTGCTGATGTGACCCTGGGTCAGTCACAAGCTCTGGCACAGCTGTCCTTGAAAAAGAGCAGTTTGTGTCAGAGTTCTCTCAGCCCCACCCACCTCACAGGGTGTCTGTTGTGGGGAGGGGAAGGGAAAGGAGTTTGTAAGCCGCTCTGAGACTCTGAGTGAAGGGCGGGGTATAAATCCAATCTCTTCTCTTCTTCTTCTTCTGCTGATGCCACCACTTCACTTCTGGCTGTGTAACTGGAAGCAGTGAAACCTCACAGAACGCTTTAGGACAAACCTAGAGTCCAGTGGCATCTTTAAGACCAACAAAGTTTTATTCTGAATCCTAGAGTTTCCCGCTTCCAGTTATGCTGCCAGAAATGACATAGCAATATCATAAGAACATAAGAACATAAGAGATGCCAATGTTGGATCAGGCCAAAGGCCCATCCAGTCCAACACTCTGTATCACACAGTGGCCAGAAATATCAGGTGCCATCAGGAGGTCCACCAGTGGGGCCAGGACATTAGAAGCCCTCCCACTGTTGACCCCCCC